CTGTGTGTGACAATTAATCTGGCGTCCGCGACAGGACCTTTTGGTGCACAATGTGTCCAAAGTAGTGAGAAAGAGCCTCGAGTTGTTGATAGTGCTATCGGAACGATTTTGTGTGTTGCTCAGTGTTCTCGTTAACGAGTGCAGGAGAGTGTTCCGATAGACTGATTTAGGCAGATACTTTTTGCACGTGGCAAGGTTTTATTTGCGAGACACAATGGATCTCGAAAAGTTAGTTGCGCTTGGTGAGAAGATGGGTCTTTCCGGCGCCAAACTACGGAAATGGGTAAGCCAGAAGGAGAAAGAGGCGGTGGAGAGAGAAAGGTTGGCAACTGAGAGAGCCAAGGAAGAAAAAGCAGCTGAGTTGGAACGAGAGAGGTTGGCGGTCGAAAGAGCCAAAGCGGAAAAAGAAGTTGAGTTGGAGAGAGAGAGGTTGGCAGCAGAGAGGGCCAAGGAAGAAAAAGCAGCTGAGTTGGAACGAGAGAAGTTGGCAGCCGAAAGGGCGAGAGAAGAAAGAGAAGCGAGGGAGCGACAGCTGAAAGAAGAAAGAGAAGCGGAGATGGCTGAAAGGGAACGGCAGCGGCAGCACGAGATGGAACTCGAGCGGCTCCGTTTGCAACAGCGAACTGAAACTCCAGTCCAAGCTAGAGTTGAAAGCAGCGAACGGGAAGATCATGGCTTCCGCTTGAACCCAAGCAAGTTGCTCGTAGCATTTGATGAAAGGAAGGACGACCTTGACGCGTACCTTCACAGATTCGAGACGATTGCAAGCAGCCAGAATTGGCCGGAACATCAATGGGCAACTGCTTTGAGTACTTGCTTGAGTGGTGAAGCGCTCATTGTGTACGGTAGACTGACGCCGACCGATGCAGCCAACTATGCCAAGGTGAAAGCTGCTTTGCTGAAGCGATTTAGATTTACTGTGGAAGGATTCCGGGACAGATTTCGGACAGGAAAGCCAGCTGATGGTGAGACGGCTACGCAGTATGCCGCCCGACTGTGTCATTATTTCGACAGATGGATTGAACTTTCGGGGACAGCGCAGGAGTATGATGAGCTTAGAGAGCTCCTAATTAGAGAACAATTTCTTACTAGTTGCCACCCAAGCCTGTCGCTGTACTTGAAAGAGAGGAAGGCTGAATCACTTGAAGGAATGCTTGAATTGGCTGATCAATTCTTGGAAGCGCAAGGTGGAACTAATTTGGCCAAGGTCAAGAAAGAGTGTCCCGAAGATTCGAAAAATTCGGCACCCGAACAAAAGAAGCGTGCACCAGAGAGCATTCCGCGATGTTTTCTGTGTGACCGAGTGGGTCATCACGCGAAAAACTGTCGAACGATCTTTACGAGCCCTACGGTAGTAAAATGTTTTAAGTGTGGTCAGACTGGGCACAAAGCAGATGCTTGTCGGAACGGAGTGAGTCAAACTCACCAGGTATCCTGTGTGCAAGCGGCACCGAAATCTGATAATAATGCCGTCACTGATGGATTCGTAGAGTTGAAAAATGGGGAGAAAATTCCTATTGTGGGTGCTGTAATGTCAAAACAGCCAACCGGTGTCACGAAGGGAATGCCAACGCTGCCTGGAAAAGTTGCGGGCAAAAAGGTTACGGTGTTAAGAGATACCGGCAGTTCCACTGTTATCGTGCGGAGAAATTTGGTACGGGAAAGTGAGTTAACAGGCAAAACGAAACCGGTTTGCCTAATTGACCGTACGGTTCGGATGCTTCCCGAAGCAGAGATTGAGGTGGAAACTCCGTACTTCAGCGGGAAGGTTACCACTCTATGTATGACGACCCCCCTTTACGACCTTGTCATCGGAAACATCGCCGGGGCGCGAGGACCGAATGATCCGGAATGTTTGGGAGAAGACCCTAAGATAGAGCCCTCGCCAACCCAGCGACCGCGAGATACAGTGGAGGAGCAGCCCGTGACGGATCTCACCAGAGCCCAAGGTGTCGCGGCGCAAGAGACAGCGAATGAGAAGACGATCGTGTTGAATGGGTTCACGGGCCGAGCAACTGGACTTACGTCGGCACGACCTCAACCGACCGACAGTGTAAAGGAGACGGAATCGGCCAGCCGGGCCAAATGTAGAGACATGAACAAGCTGGTAAATAAACAGACAGGACCCGTCGAACGTCATGACCCGTTAGCAGTGTCGGAAGAGACAACGATGGCTGAGACGCTGCCTCAGATACCGTCATTGGAAGGGGCTCCACGGAACAAAACGAGCAAAAACAATAAGAAGAGATCGAGAGAGCACCGCAAGAAAGGGCGCAAGCGCCGCTCGAAATACACAGGATAGGTGCTGAGGTAGAATCGGATTGTGTTTGGCAGAGCTGAGTGCCATATGTTGTGTTAATGTTCTTGTTGTCCTGTGTCGCAACTGTATGTTGAGTGAGTCAAAATGTTTGTCTCGGTGATGTGATGTATAGTAATGATGTGAGTGTAGTAATTGTTGTAATGAGAGAACTTTGTACGTTTGTATTGTTCGGAATGTGTGATGAAGTGTTGTAGTCATGTACCTGTGGCTATATTTCATGTGTCATGGAATTGAATTACAATGTACAGCTGTATTGAGGATCTATTCCGAATGTGAAGTGTCATGAGCGACGGTTTGTGTTACAGTCTTTCGGAGTGTGTGGTGACTGTTCGCGCTCGTTTGTGTGGTTTTGAATATTATGAGATAATATTCTGAAAGTGGGGGGCAGTGTCACAGAACGAGCGCTAAAAATGGGCGCGCCGCCAAATTCTTGCGATAACGCGCGGGGGAGACACCGGGAGGTCAAAAAAAAAAGGAAACAAACATCCAAGGCTCCCCGGGCGCGCGCTCTCCCCTCGGAAGCGTGGCTTCGCCGACGAACCTCCTCACCCCACAACGGCGGCCGAGCAAGCGCTGGAAAGTTCCAGAAGAAAATAGGCGTGGTCATACCGAGCTGAGTCATCTGCCGCGGAGGGCATTCCAACCGTCTCGCCCTCTTCCCAGCCTTCGCTGCGTATCGCGCCGACGAAATGACGAGAACTCTCTGGAATGTCGTGCGGAAGGCATTTAACCGAGCAGCGGAGACGAGAGAGCAGGAGAAGACGGAAGTTAGCGCCAGAGCGCGTAGGGTTTCCGCCGTGTAGTCGGCGAAGGTTTTGTCCGCAGAGACAAAGCAGGAGAAGAAGAAGAGGATTTCCACCTGAGGGGTGAAGGCTCGAGCTACAGGCAAGAGCGTGTGTCTACCGCTATCGAGCGAGGACGCGTGGCAACAGCTGCGTGTGTGAAGCCGACGTGTTTCCGGCGAAGAAGTTTGAAGCGTGGAGAGAGGCCAATCGAAGACGCGAGGTTTCCTGGAAGAGAAACTTCGGCGAGGTTTCCTGGAAGAGAAACTTCAGGGGCAGCGGAACGACAACAACGCTGGACTTTGAGTGAGTGATTCTCGGAAGAGTATCATTCAGACTTTTGTTCCAAGGACTTTGGACTGAATAGGTTTTCTATCTCTTTAGTCTTTAAGTGTCTTGGTTGTTCAATGCATGCGACTGCATTGTAGTGTGTACTGTTGTCTGTGTCCGTTGTTCGAGTGTGGCTAATTGTACTGTGTAGTACGTTGTTTGATCGGTGACATATTGTACTCAGCTATTGTGGAGTGAGCACATTTGTGTGTTGTTTTTCTGATCTGCCATTGTTGAGAATATAATTTTGTTGGTTTATCAACTCTCGGCTCTGACTTGTTCTTTGGGCCACAGCCGGCGTCCGCTGGCGCGCCAAAAAGGACTTCTAAATTGTTTACGCTTTCGTGGTGCGGTTCGGGGGGCCGATACTTCGGCCCTTGGAATTAGCCCGGCGATCGCCTCCCTAATTAACGGGACCTGTGTGACATAGTTCCAGCAAAGGTAACTATCACCGACTCTGTCGGGATCTTATTTTTGTCAGCGCTACGTGAACAGCGAAAAACTGCCACCGCGCCTGCAGCAGGAAACATATCTAGAATTTCGGACAGAGACAGACTCAAGTCTACCCCACGAACCAAACCTTTCACACAGGCCAAGTGAGGAGGAACAAAAGGGCTCATCGGGAGAGAGGCAAACTATGTGCATTTTAGCAGATCTGATACGCAGGCCTGATCCGGGGAACAGCACAGAATGCCTCCACGACCAAACTGTCGCACCTCGGTGATGAGTTGGAAGTGTTCGGTCACCTTCCGTAGCCACCGGAATGCTGCTGAGACCGCTGCGCAAGAAAAGATCAATGGGTAAATTATCATTAGTGAGGGATGCCGACCAGGCAGAGTTTGCTTGGCCGGGAGACGCGACAGACTTCAGTCAGCTGAGCTCAAGTCAGCACCGCCCGCAATGGCCACACACCCCGGAAGGATGCACCCAGACGCCGAAGACAGCTGAACAGGAACTCGAAAAAGGGCCAGCAACGTTCAAGGCACAATTATGCCCGAACTTAGCAGGAGTAGCTCCTATTGAAAACACACTTCTTCGTCTTCACTAGTGAAGCCGAGCTGAAAATCGGTAATAATGGTAGGTGGGTGAAAACTACGGTACGGCCACAATTAAATATAATGAAAACCTATGCATTGACGTCATTTAAGTCCCCACATTTTGTCACTTGAACATTTGAAGCTGCGTTCATTACGTCATGTGAAAAACTAAATGTGCTCATGTGTTACACAAAGCCGTTCTGCGACAGAAAAAAGAAGAAATACGCGCATTATCGAACGAATGAAGTTCAAACGATCCTCGTTGCTCTTGCATAGTTATTTTTCCCACCAAACTAACGTTCTGTGCAAGTGAAAGGGTACGCGAAAAAAAAATTAAGCCCCACATATATTTCGTTTTCCAGAGACAGACGATTAAACACGACGCAGTGCGTCACGGGAAAACCTAAGCAACGCGCGAAGCAGCCGCCTTGAAATTCCCGCTCTACTCAACGTCACGAATGACGTTGCAGTCGGAGAACGTACGCAATCCAATCCAAGTGTCAAGAGCCAACTTGAGAGTGTAACGAAATCGCAAGCCTGCTACCCGCTTCTACAGGCGACGCAAGGCCAGCGACGAGGCGAGTGGAAGCGAACGCAGTCTGTGTTGTGAGAGGGTGCGATCGAAAAGAGAAGCCGAAGCGACCGAAGTATCGTCGGTTGGAGTGGTTATCGTGACGTTGTCCTCCGTGCGGCCTCTCTGCGGCGTCTTGGTCGTGCCGATTCATCTTTCGCCGACGTGTTGTGAGTTTCGGCGAGCGCTGGCTACACTGCTCGCATTCGTCGCTCATTCCACGCATCCGCTGAGATGAGCGATTCGCTGCCGTTGACCTCCTGCATTGAAGAATGGGATCAGCTCGAGAAGGAATACTGCGACTTAGAGGTGAGTTCTTTGCACGTGGTTCTCCGCTTGTTACGTCGTTTAGTTACGTCGCTTGTTACGTCGTTTGCGCTGGCGGACCGCTTGGTGAGAGCTGCTTGTTGCCTTCTGCGTTTTTATGGCCCAAGCACGACCTCCTAGACATTGATTTTGTTTTTGACAAGCGTGTCCTTTGTCATAATGTCATGCTGGGCCACTATGCGCTGGCTATGCTAGCGTTTCGATGTGTGTCTTTCCATCGTGGTCGACGAGATCAAACTTTGTCGTCGGTCGTTAATCCTACGCCCCTAGGCTTTCACTAGGTGGGTTGCCGCTAAGTTCGTTGTTTCAGGGCGTAAGTGTAGCGTAAGGCCGCATTTTTGCGTTGTATCTTCATGTCCTTGTAAAAAAAAAAAAATCACGTGCGAAATTTTGAGAACGCAGTCTTGATAGTGAATATACGTTTGAAAAAAAGATGATGAAGCCCGTAACACCAATTGCGAACGTTGGCTACAAACAAACCTTGCCTGCTCCCTCTTTCCTCAGCCTCGCCGTGTTTGTTTCTTTCACGTCCTCTTAATCCCTGCGTGTGAAGCAAAGCACACCGTTATTAGTTGTTCCGGCGAGTTGGCCGTCTCGGCCGATGCGCCGTCGATTCACCCCCAAGGTCGATCGCCGCGTCAGCCAATTCTGTGCGTGTTTTCCTGGCCCCTTTGGCGATCAACTGGCATAATATATATAAAAAAAAAGCCTAATAAAAGCACGCAGTCGCCGTCTACACTTACCCCGCGCGTGCACGTTTCTTTCCCACGTGCTCCCCTATCCCCCTTTCCCCGTAGGTAAGCTGCTGATTCAGTGCTTCCAGCGTGGCCATCGCAGTTCAACGTGTACGTTTTTCGAACAGGAAAAAAACTGGCGGGAACGTTCGATGGAGAGAATCCGCCGTCGGTAACAAAATGAAAAACTACGAAGGAAAAGCAGTGTCATTAGTGTCGTGTATTCCGGCCGAGTTTCCGGCGCCTATTCCCCGAAGGGGAACCAGAAAGTTCGGGCCTACGCCATAGAAAGAAAAGGGCTTCTCAGCTTTTTTTTTTTTTTTTTATAGACCCGGTTCGAATGTAAGGACTGGAGATTTCCTCTAGAGGTGCGGTTGGCTGCTCAAGCGCGATTCAGCTATGCATGGGCGTACAGCAAGGGAGTGCTGTTAGAAAGCTTGTCCCACACCTTGGATTGCCGGCTCCTGATGACTGAATTTTGTTGTGTGGCTGGGTAAATGGGGTATAGGAACAAATTATAATAAACTCTCACTGTACACTGCTGCAGGAAAACTCGGAGGTCGACTGAAATTGCAGTATGTGAGCCAGTTAGTGGACGGTTTTCATTACACGTAATTTTGAAATGTAAATCATTGCCCGACAAGAAATAAGAGCTCACAAAACTCGCCTAGCAAGCTTATCTGACCCAGGCTCCCATCTTGACAAGAAAAAGTTTTCTTTGCCTCCCGAGGAAGCTGGCGTACAATTAATGTAACTATGACAGACAACTTCTGGTTGTAATAGTAATCTTTAAACGTTGTACAATAGTTCTCGTATATAGGTTGCTGGCCTGTGAATGTATTATGAAACGGGAGCTTGCGTCCTGTAGTGAGTGCACTGTGCAGCTAGTAGGCCAGGCAAAGCTAGTTTTCACAAGACCATATGGATGCACCAGCAGCAGTCCTGCTGTTCGGTCTGTTCTTTTATATAAAATAGCACCCAGGAAGAAGCAGAACAAAGTAGACACAAAAAAACGGAAACATGCGGCTCTTACGTTTTGTCCCTGTGAAAACACCTGGGGGATGTTTTTCGTGTCAAGGGACTGAAAAAATATTCTCTGCTTGTTTGTTATCTTACCTCCACGCCTGTCTGCAGATAAGTAGGCCTCTTCAGACAAGTGACAGATGCAGCGCATCTGTTGTGTGCAGATAAGAGCTTTCTAGATTTCGTTGCATTGTCGGGGTGACATTGAATACATCATTGCTCTGGTTTGCATGCGTTTATCCAGCCTTCAACAGCCCTCGATGCCAGAAGAGTGAAATAAAGAGCAGCTCAGTATCGCTCCTAGTGCTTGTTAACTTGCTGCCAGTTATTAATAGCCCCAGTGTACAAGTAGCAGGTGTGTTTAACTTACTGTCTGTTGTCACTATGCAATAGAACATTGTGCTGCTATCAGGGATTGTCTGCTGGAGTCATGATTTCATGACTTAATACACCCACACTCTTTCACTGACTTAAGCCACAGTAGAGTGCTTCAGCAACTTAAGGCTGCTTGAATTTAATAGTACTAGAAGTTGGTATTCTTATACACGTGTTTCCTCTTGGTCTACAACACACCAAGCTTCCCGGTTTTTTGGTAGTGTCAGTCATTGGAACATGCTCTTTGTAGACTACTGGTTGCCTCCTCCAGTTGAAACTTCACTCTTGTATATTCATATAGCCAATTGAATTTTTCAATGTTTAGTTTCTTATTCAAAGCGGGTAAATATCTTTTCGTTCTTGGAGACCTTTGACAAGAGCATGCCAAACATTTACGTAGTGACATGCGGCAATCCAGCATTGCATAAGCTACAGTGCATTCTGAACTTTCTCAACCTAGGACAGCAGCCCAGCGTGTTATGGGGCTATGTAGCGGAGTTCAAGATTGTGAGGGTCATCTTGGCCATAGCATCTGCATTTTGATGGTGAACACTATTTCGAACCAATCTCTTACTATGCAGTCTATAGGTGATACACAAACGACTACTTCTACTGTAACATCATCAAATCTAGCCTAAAAATATAAGAAAATGTTTTGTACTGTAGGATTTCTTCCTAGTAAGGAAAGGCGTCGCAGCAGTAGCAATGAAAATAATTTTTTTTATTTGTAGTGTCGCGGGACTTCATCACACATTGCTCGAAAAGCTAGTTAATGGGCAGGTTATTTTTACAGTTGACATACATGAAATCGAAGTACAAAGTATATCAGAATGCTTGTTTACTGGTTTTCAGCACATTTTGACGCTTAATTTGTTCTTGTGTAAAGTGATTTGCTTTTCATGTAATCATTCCTTTGTTCAGTGTCATATTGTTTGTGCCATGTGGTTATGCTATGGGCAGGCTCTAAGCTTTAGAGCCTCTGTTATGCCAGATTGCTGCCCTTCTTGTTTGTCCCGGTTGTGAATACTTTAGCAGAATAGCATTATTAAATGCCGAAAGCATATCCCCAAGTGGAAAAACGGCCTGTTTTTGAATCCGTTGATACAACTTAGCATGAACCATCTGAGAACTGCAGCCCCCCAAAAAAAAGGGACATGGAAATTTGACACATGAGGCATGTGTGATTATTAGGGAATACTTGTGATTCTCAGCAAACAAAGGATTGTTGACTTATAATTTATTCCTCTGCTTCGTAATTTAACGTAGTCTCACTCGCCACGGTGGTCTAGTGGCTAATGCACTTGGCTGCTGACCCGCTGGTCGCGTGATCGAAGCTCGGCTGTGGCGGCTGCGTTTTCAATGAAGGCCAAAATGCTTGAGACCAGTGTGCTTAAATTTAGGTACAAGTTAAAGAACCTCAAGTGGTCGAAATTTATGGAGCCCTCCACTACGGCACCTCTCATAATCACGTGGTGGTTTTGAGTTGTTATACACGAATAATTATTATTAAATAAATGTGGTATATGCACATAAAATTATTAAACTTCACTAATTTGTACACACACTATTTCTCTCTCAAAGTTCTGTCATGATGTTGATGTAGCCTTCATTCGTCGGTAGCTGACCTTGACACATAGCTACCCTGTTGTATTTCACAGAATTTAATTACATGAGCCGCTGCTATTATTGGATTGGAGCAGTTGAACTGGACTGCTCGATGGAGTCTGAGGTATTAGTGATTTTTAGGAAAGCCGAGATGAGCACCGAGATGCTGTGATAGAGAGAGAAAGAGGGGAAAAAAAAAAAAGCTGAGCTTCTGTCGTATTTTCCGTCTCACCTTATCTTTCCTAAATGCCTCTGTGATTAGTGTCACCAGCTGTTCAATACCTTTGCAGTTTTATTCTTGTCGTCATGATTTCACCTTTGTTTCTATGTTTATGCACCTCCAGAATTTGTCTGAGAGCAATTTGCTGTGATGAATTTCACTATGTACATTGTAAGCCTACCTATCAAGGAGAATCTTCCATGCCATTTTTTTTTTTAATGTTGATTATATGTTGCTTAAGGAAACATGTGATTCTAGAAAAAGAGTGTTATTAATTTTCGCCTGGAACAATGAAATTTTCACTGTATATATGTGTGTGTGTGTGCGTGTGTGTGTGTGTGTATATATACTTTCATGCCGATTTCAAATATGTAATTAGTTTGTAGTGAGTTGCACAGTTTTTATTTTGTGCCATGACAATGTGTATAGTTCGTTTTTGACCAACTTCTTGTGCCACTAAACATTTATAGTTCTGAGCCATTAATGAATATTACTCCACTTGAACTGTGGAATGCAAATAATCACCAAGAAAGTGAATGTAAGACATTTTAACGGTCAACGAAAACTGTGGTATAAGAATTGTTATTTTCCTCAGCCCATACTAATTGCTTTCTCAAGATTCATGATGATTCTACAGACAATATCAAGTTGTAAAAAAGATACTAGCATCCTTCACATGTTAAGGCATATGTTGGACCAAATTTCATCCTGATATGGGTAACAGAATTGCCAATAACGTGATGTCTAAACTCGGGAAGTTGTCCAAAAATAAATTTGAAAAAAAAAAGATGCATTATGAAAGTATAAGTCAAATCTCATTTATTTGGCAAAGATATGTTTTGAAAGCTATTTCTTTCATTATTAGCGCTTAGCAATCATTGTTATTTTGAGCATCTGGCTTTAGTGAACTCCTTATGTGAAATGCAATGGCAAGCAGCCAGGTGACAATATCCAGTGCACTCGAGACAGTGAACCCTTTTTAGTGTTTAGTAGCCACCTTGCACTCTGCAAAAGCAATTTTAACCTACTTTGAGTTGAGTTACAATAATCTTTTTTGTTGTTGTTATTGTTGTTGTGAGAGTAGAAACATCAAATAATAACAAAACATATGTAGTTTTTGAAAAAAAAAAAAAGGCATTTTTCGACTTGAGTCTTCTCTTAATTGATAGCCAGGTAAATGCCAACATTCAGGTCCACTATGTAGCATTGTAATTATGCTCGAGACTACTTGACATGTCCGTAGCACAAGAAAAAAAAAAGAAAGATTTATAAAGCAATTGTGCGATTTCAAAGCCTTTCAATTTCAAAGCCTGTATGCACAATGTCTCATCATTCAGTCAGATGTAACAGATTGTGTCATTTTATTTCAAAGTAAAATTTTATGCACCTGAAGCAGCTCAGCTACTTCGTAGGGTTTCTTAACGCAGTACATTTGGCAAACGAAAAGAAAAGTGTATTGATGTGCCAACCCGTCCCCTATTTTATAGCTTCTGTAACCCTACTTTAACACTGCTCTCAGATCAGGCAGCTTTTACTTCGTTTTATTCCTTGCCCCGCTTGCTCTCCAGCAGAAAGTATAAATGATCATGGACCCCCAGACACTGTGCAAAAGAAAGTGACAGGTGCTTTGAAGAGCTTTTTGTGCAGTTTTAGAATGCGTGTCGATTCCATTAGTCTGCATGGGGCCTAGTAACTACAGAACTTTTTCCTAAAGGGGTATAAGGTGTGTTAAATGGAAAGGGACACCCAAGGAAAGAAATAATCTTAGCCATCTTACTAGGTTTCCCGCTTTCAGTACCAAAAAGAAAAGCCACTCTTGATGTTATGGTTGCTTAATTCGCTTTGGGATGCTAAACCTGATAAATGACCCGTGTTGTTTTAATGACCCTGTGAATTACAACAGGCTCAGAAAGTGAGAGTTGGTTTGCACTGTCTTGTTTCTATACCAATTTGCTACTACAACATTGTGTACCAATAAACCAGCATAGACTGCTTTCACCAGTGAAGATGGGATCTGTTGAGTTTTCTAAAACAATCAGAGGAAGAATTCAGCAAGTTTCAGTAATTTTTACTAAGCTAGGATAGAGAGCCCTATATGAAACAAGCCTTAAGGACGAAAAACGTTATAACTCTTGACATTACACTTGCATTTGCTGTTGGGATACTTAAAGCAAAATTTTTAGAAATGAAACTTTCACTGTGGCAATGCTTCATTAGGCTGTATGTACTTGTCTCTTGGGTGTTTTTATAATTGTTATAATGTCATGAGGAAAATCGCACCGCTATAGACAAAAGCGTGTTGTGAGGGGAGGAAGAAATGTCCCTTAGCCACAGGCTAGCGATCCCAGCGATGCCACTTTTGTTTTGGACTTGATTCTGTTGAGCAGTGAACTTGCGATAAGGCTAGAAGCTGATTCTTAACCTTCCACCTCGTTTTATCATCGTTGCCTACTCATCTCATTCACGCATTTTGCAACCTTTGCAGAAGTCGTACCGTCAGTACATGGTGCTGACCGGAGAGGTGCAGCGGTCCCAGGACGAGTGCCTCAAAGGCCTTCGGCACCACCGGTACCGGTCGTCGCAGATCCTCGAGTCACTGAGCAAGATCCAGCCAGCCAGTGATGATGACAAGGCGCAGAAAGCACAGTTGCTGCAAAAGCTGGATGCCAAGCGGAATCACCTGGACGACATGGCGCAGGACTTGCCACGTTCTAATGGGTAATCTTGCTTTGCGCTATAATCCCAAAGAGATCTCGTGTAAATGTTGCATGTTGTCTTCTCGTATATTTCAGTCAAAATGACTTCGAGAGGTAGGTAGTGATTTGAATTGCTTCAACCTTGCCTATTTTGCCCCGCGTAATGCGTGTCTTTTTCTAAATGGGAAAAAACAAGATGCTGCCTTGTACATAAAAAATTCTGTTATAGCTAATTCAGAGTCCTCAGAACAGTGCATATATTCATAGGTTTGTCAGTAATCTAAGTATTAGAAATACGAAGTCCTACCTTCTTCGAATATTACAGTCAAGCCCACTTATAGTGGTACCGGTTTTGACAATACAGCTAAACCCCTTTATAAGAGGCGTGCTCTGAGCAGGAATTCTAGTTTTTTTATATGAGACGTCTTTTATAAGCAGGGTACCTCGTCAGCATTTTCTTATCAATCCATATTTTACCATAGGCACGTTGGTGTCTCTTAATTTATACCCATTTGTCTCCTATATCAGTGCCTCGTATAAAGGGGTTCGACTATATATTACTTTGAACAATGAGAGGCTGCTGCACTGTCAATTTTTGTATGTGAATCACCCTCTTACAGCGATGCCCGCATGCCGTATTATTGGTTATAACAATGATTGTGGCCATCGGGGTCTGTTCCAAAAGGTAATGAAATGCGAAATTCTTCAGAAGAAAGAAAAGAATGACAAATTTAATTTGCAGAACCTCCGCCCACAAACCCAGCATCTCCCAGGTCCCCTTTGTATTTGGGGTACACTTCACTGCATAGCGATGTGCCACTGCAGCAAAGCTGATTTTTAAAATCTGTTCTAGCGTGGGAGCAGCTTTGGCTACTGTTAATGCACTATCGAAAAGGCGGCTTGAGTAAGAATTTCAGATTTTTCATTGAATCAGGCATCGTACATTGGCTCTATAGGGCTTCTGGCAATCCCATGAAAGCGTCCAAATTTTCAAGAAACTCCAAAAAAATGAACAGCTTTGTCATCTTATCATTGATGTCTATTGGGACATCCCATTCGATATAGTTTTTTTGTAACAGGGGTCCCCCCCTTCTTTTTTGTGCACTTTCTTTATAGCAATTGTTGGTGATAACTACAAAGATTTTGTGGCACTTCAGTGTTGTTACAAGTGGGTTGACTGTACTGCATCATTTTATAGGGGGCTTCTTAACGTGAAGACTTACTGTAGAATACGGTGCAAGAAAGTCTCCGAGGTTTATAGAGCAACACAACACTGTGCCTTCGTTTTTCATGGTCTTATCAATGTGGGCTTCATAATTTTTCATAAACATTCCATTTTATGTTGCTATCATGATTCTATTTCTAAAAATGGTTATTTAGCCAGCATCTGCTTATGTGGTAAGCGGACATATGAAATATTTCTGCTGTCCACTGCTTTAATAAATAGCTTTGTTGCGATCACAACTGGTTGCGTCCTGCCACGAGTGCAAAGCTACTGCAACGTCAGAAATGTTTGGGAAAAAGACTGAGCAATGTTATATGTGCTCTTCAGATTTCTTAATTTTCGGTTGGTTTTCTTTAAGAAAAACATTTTCTGAGGTAGTATCCCGGTGGTATAAGATTATTAGGTCATTATCCCTCATATTTCAACACCTTTGGAGAAGTTTGAACTGAAGATAAGTCTAACTATGCTTTGTCTGGGGAACTAAGGTGCTGATTAAATTTACCGCATTTGTTGTTGCATACATGAAGCAAGCAGGGCCAATGCTTGCTTCATACATCCATGTCATCCTGGCATTTTCATACACAAACCCTAATGTCATCTGAAACTTCTTGTAGTAATAGCATCAATAGTGCTGACGCATCACTACTGCTTCTATTTGTAAACTTTGTGATTACATCATGCAGAACTGCTGCAGCAAACGTAACTAACTTTGCACCCCGGGTATGTTCACGATGTGCTTTTGATGGCCTGGACCTGGTGTTCTCTTTTATTGCAGGCTAGTATATGATCTTTACATACTCAAGTTTCTTCCACAGTCTGGCTCCAGTTCTAACATGAACACTTAGCTAATACGAGCTCATAGCACTATCATCGTAAGGTATCTTGATGAATTGGTTCACAGGTTTCTCACTGTCATTTTTTAAGTTGGCATTGCAAAGTTGACAGCAATTGAATCCTTTGATTCAAACAGCTTCACAACAATGACAAAAGAGCACCAGAAAGCCCACTCTATGACTGTTCTGCTACATTTTTTAGGCGTTCTAGTGACATCGCAACAGGCTTTGTGCGATTATCAAATTGAAACAAGAAATGGTCGCGGTGAACAAGGCGTGTTTTCCACTGCCAGCTGAAGTTGAGCTGCTCTAAGTGAAGCCTTATTGGACAGTTGGTGAAAATTAAGAAATAGACTAAAAAGTTAACCTTTATATTCTTTGAGTCCTTCCTATGATGACTCTCACCTGTCTTTTCCTCTTTCTGCAGTATTTACTTGCAGATTGTGCTTGGAAGCGTCAACCTTTTCCTCAGGGATACAGAAAAGTAAGTTGGTGCATACAGTGAATGCCATCTTGGGCTGTGCTCATTCACAAGCGCTTCTTACATGTGACCTTTGCTGTTCGCTTTGCTTTAGGTATCGGTACAAGGACGAATACGAGAGGTTCAAGCTGAAAGTCACCATGTTAATTCTGGTCGTGTCTATATTGTGCATATTAATGAACTACAGGTTAGTAATTCTATCATTTTTATTTATTGTTTACTTCTCGATTGCTTGAACAAGGACAGGCCGTGGCAAAAAAATTTAAGCCACGATGTTCTATCAGGGGTTGTGTTGCTCAAAGTTTAGCAAGTCTTCTTATCTTTACTACATAGTATTCTATCTGCCATTGTAACCTCAAATGAATAGTGCTGCCATTGTACAGTGCTCGAGGACACCGTTTACATTCCTGGCATCAGCGTCCGCATTCTTGTGGGGGTCAAAAGCACAGACAATTATAAATAAACCTAAATGGAAGTGGAAGCAAAAATCAGCTCCACTGCAATGCAAAGGCGTTATGTGGTGAAGCATGAAAAATAAGAGTTGTTTTGTAGAACAGTCTGCCTCAAAAAAATGGATTTTATTTTTTTATTTTTAAGGATGGGTTTTGTGGATGCTGTGAAATCTCTTCGCTAAATGCCATGTAAGAACCATTGTAATATAGACTTGCGTGCTAACATCCAGGTTCTCGTTAAAAACTCTAGGTGGCTGAAATTTCTGGAACCCTCCAGCATGTCCAATAATCTTTTAGTAATTTTGAGATGTAAGTCTCCAACAGTTATTATTATTATTGATATTACTTTTTATTATTATGACACCATGATCGTACCACTGTCCGACATAACCACACCCAGCCCTTGTTTTTAAAGTCTCTGGGCTTTGTATAGAGTTTGTTACAAAAGCTGTACTTCAAAAGAAAACTTTTTTTTTAAATTTTAGTGTGGGCAGCATTTTCTTTTTGTTACACAGTGTGTGAGATTTTAGTTCTCTGCAGATTACTATTGTAGGTGCTGCATTAAATTTAATTGTGTTTAATTTTATGATGGGCTGCTGAGTTATTGCAATAATTAAAGATGACCCGACGTTTCTCGATGCTTTCAGGGCATGTGATGCCATCCTGCACTTTCTTCTTGTCTGGTACTACTGCACACTCACAATACGAGAAAGCATTCTGGCAGTCAACGGTTCAAAGTAAGTTGAATAGATTCGTAAGTGTCCATGTGCGCTTGCTTGGAAACAGCACTACTTGAAACGTACTTAGCTTGATCGGAAGGTTCTTTAAAAAAAAATGAGAGTTCAATTTTTTAACACTTGTCCTTTCTTCCTTTGTCTGACTTTTTTTTCTTGTATTCTCATTGCAGAATAAAAGGATGGTGGAGGCTACACCACTTCATAACAACCGCACAAGCTGGGATCATTATTGTCTGGTACGATTCATAAGTTCTTGTTTAGACATTCCAACACCACAGGCTTTTGGCAAAGCAGTTCTGTGGGAAGAACCCATGAGCTGGAGGAACATGAGCTTTAACTTGATCTTCATTTCGGATCTATAGAATGTACAGATAACGAAACGCAGACAAAACTCCACATGAAGCCTTAATGAGGTCTGTGTCCCCCTTTTTTTTTTTTTACAACAAACACATGATGGATAAACTCAAAAGTGCGATGCACAAACAGGTTAATGCAAAAAAAAACTATGTGAATAAAACACATGACCGAACATAAATAAATGAAAAGAAACGTGTTGGTGCAGCTTTCAGAAAAAAAAATAGTTCTAAATTATTAAACAGTTTCTGTAAATACAGGAGCAAGATTTATTTCTAAACTGAGTGTGAGAAAGCAAATTATCGTATTACAATAACTTGGAATCAGCACTGCATGTATTAAAACAAGAATGATTGCTATAAGTTCATCTAAACTAAAGTAATGGTACACTGTACATTTGCAAGAGTAAGCGATGTAAGGCTGGGTCAAACTGCAATCAAGCTGCGAATGTTCAACATTCCCAGCTCGATCGGAGTTGGACCCAGCTAAAAAACAAGCTGCAACGGCAGCTATGGTACCACTAATGCTTTTAACTACTTTTCACTTACGCGTGCCATACCCTTATTGAATGATATTACAGCAAAAGCTGTTACGAGATGACAACACGGGTCACGTGTGGCACCGTAGCTGTCAGCCGCCGCCAGTGTTCATAACCACTTTCGCACGGAATAAGAAAAATAAAAACTCGATAAATAAAAAACACCGAGGACACAGTGGGATTCGAACCTAGGTCCCCTAGGTGCCAGCCCAGTATTCTACCTACTAAGCCAAGCCGCTGCTTGGAACTCGTTTGCGAGTTCGCCTTGAGCAGGCTTGATGTCTGGAAAATAATCGCGTTAATAGGAGTAATGAAGTGTTTTAGAAGAGCAAAGGAAGAACCAGGCGTCGAACAATGCGAATTGCATGATTAGGTCGTCCAATGACCCATTACAAAAGCTTGTTCTTGATCACCTATTTGGCGCAAACCCACTTCAGGCTTAGTTCTTCATCATCGGCCACTGCATAAAAAATTTGCACAAAATTCCTTGCACGTGTTTAGCGGATACCATGCTTCTCTGAAGAATGACAAAGGATAGCATAGTGAATGCCGACCTACTACAGCGAAGTTATGATTATATATGCCGTGCTGGGTACCCAGCAAGTGTGCTTGTAGCAATTACCCAAAGAGTGTTTAGAAAAAGGCTCTGAAAGGCCGCTCTTCCAGCTTTCGCTGTGACTGTGCTGCGCGTTCCGCGCAGGCCAGGCGGATTTCTTGTGAACAGCATCGCCCTGTTGTGCTGTCACGGTAAATTTGGCAAGCGCCTTAGCCATTTCACTGATGATGCTCATCTGACCTATTTGGTCCCATGATTCATGCATTCCCTTCTTTTTTCTTTCTTCTATTTTATCAGCTAAGTGATGCTGTTGTTTTAAGTTTTGTTCATTATGTCATTGTTATGCCAACTCGGTAGTAACTGTAAATTGCACAATTTGTTCCCTGTGCTTGCATTCGATATGTCTAACACACTGTTGCATTTCTTTTTTTGTGTTGCAAGCATGCTTGTTCATCATCTTTTATAATCTAAAGGTACATATGACTGCTTTTGTACTTACACATGTTTTGCTGCACTTGCTATTGCTTTTAATGTTAATCCAATTTGTTCTTACTTGTATCGACCCCGCTTACACAATGCCTCTACAAGGCCTGTTAGGTATTGGTAAATAAATCAAAAAATAAATTATGGTGCCACAACTGTACAAACTGCATTACTACTGGGATATCCTGAACACCTTGCCAGGGCTGGGCAGTATCACGATACAAAAGTATTGCGATAGTATCTTCAAGATACTTTCATGTATATGTATCTCTGTATCCCAGTAGTGAAATACTCTGACAATGTATCAATTGTTTCGTGTTTTTAGGCAGGAAGAGGATACCTCGTTACTTTTTTTTTTTTTTGTCGGAAAAGAGCTGACATGTTTATCAGTAGTACGTGTCAGGCAAGAGCACGAGCATTCCCAAAGTAAAAAATATTGCAGTTACTGCATTTAGGGAAACATCACTATGTTTGCAAAAGTATCTCCAGAATATCCTGTTAAGTATCTCAGTATCTCTATTTCAGGCTTCCAGCTTGTGTATTTCGACATCTTTATTTCGAATACTTTTCCAGGTATCTCTACCCAACCCTGCTTCTCGCCAATGCTAGCATATAATAACCCCTGCATTCACTTGTCACTGTTACTAACATGTTTCTAGCCTATAGCTTCATCCCCACACAGGTATAAAAACCCAAATAAATAAATGTTCATAACGTTTTGAAATTAAACTCGGTGGGATAATAGTACATATAGTATTGTGTGTATTATGTACCACATGCATGTCGCTGTGTTGTGCAGTGAATGCTTGTTTGGTGCCAAAGGCCTAGTCAGGTGATGCTTCTTGTGAAGTCACCTTTCGCCACAAGCACCTTGACAATCTTGTATTGTTGCACTAGAAATAAATCAATTAATTAAATTAAGTAGTCCAACTGGAAAGCTTTTAATTGCTCCAGAAATACTACTCTAAAATTTATTTGTTAGTTCTGTTATTACAAGATTTATGTAGAGATTTTCATCAGAGTGACTGCATTTGCTGCTTGATGTCCTTTTTAAACACTGGCTGTCATGTAGCCCGCAACTTTTTTTTTATTTAACGTAGTCTGGCAGCCTGGTTAAAATAAGTCTGTTTGGTATACCTTACACAAAATGTACTGAAAGTTGATTTGAGCTCAGCTACTGCACATCATTACCTGTACCAGCCAGCACTTAAGCTTGCATTAATTTCCAGGCCTGACGGTGTTATATATGGAATGTTCCGAAGACAGTTCACATGGTACGTCTGCTTCATAAGTAAGTGGCCCGCTCAATTTCCCTGTTCTATCCTGCATTGTTGCGATTTTTGCTTTCCTGCAGACCGAGTAGGTCAAAAGTGATAGTTGAAATAGGAGTGATGGTGGATCCAGCATTTTGACGAGTCCTATTTTCCGACTGAAACATTGGCTTTGGCAACATTCATTGTTGGAGCGTTGTTTAGACGTGCTGTGTATCTAAATGTAGAAATATTTCAGCGCAGTCGGTTCAGGCTACCCTTTTATTGGCTTGCTATATTCGAGGAAATTACAGTTTTTCGCAGTGGGTTACAGCCTTGTGGATATTCTTTTAGTGCATCTCGCACGAGAATATTTATTCGAAATCACATACTGCTTTTGCCATACCTTTCTGGTTTCCCCACCATCTGTGACAACTGCATCGAGCGGTTACTGAAAGCTTAAAAACTGGGTTCACTGTGAATGTTTCACTGTGCTTGCTTTCCTATATGTGAATGAGAAGAATCGTATCCTTCTGTTGAAATGATGTGATTTGTAAAATGCAAGAACACCCATGTTTTCAGGTTTAAAAAAGCTATAGGGCGCACAATGAAGAACCCCAAGCAGCCAATTTAATCTGGGGGTCCCCTTCTATTGTGTTCCTCATCATGGTATTGTAGCTTTCGTGTGCAAGACCTCTAAACATTTAGAGATTGCTATCTGCAAAACCGCCGTAGCTATTTCTTCGGAAACACTGACATTTATCTTTGAAGTTGTAACTGTACTGCCAAACGGACTTATTGGTAAACTACAAAAGCTAATCCAGAAAACTGAACCTTGAATCAGTGCCACAGGGACAGTAACAATTTATGATTATTATGTAGCAGTAGGACTAGGAATGGTAGTGTTGCTGATAAAGCAAAAAATAAAAACTTGGAACACGTTTATTCTTTACCTCTCCAGAATATTTGATGAATGCTTTTTGTAGACAGTGGGGAGCCCTTATAGTAATGTGCAATTGTGAATCACAGTTCTTAGGTTTCGATAGTTATTGATTTAGTCTCTTGTGTGCATTGCACCACTTTTAGATACCTTGATACCCAAATATAGATCACTCGTCCTCTGGCATCTGTATTCAGTTGACACATTTTCTCTTTTGTCGTAACTTATCAATCGTGCCTTCCTTGTTTGGGCAGGTATAATCCAGTTCTGGCAATTTTACTACCAACAAGGATGCTTGTACAGACTTAGAGCTCTGGGTGAAAGCCACAACATGGACATCACAATTAGTGAGTGCTTGGTTCTATCAGACTGCATGACTGCTCTGTGACAAAGCAGTTGTCCAGTGAACAGAAGTTTGTTGTTTGAAGTTCTCACTTTTCAATTGTTCATATGTGTGTACGAAAGCAGCAGCTCTCAGAGTAATATACAGTAATGTTTGTTTCTCTCTAAAGCAAAAAAAAGAACTAGCTGACTGCACGCTGCATCAGTAGGAAATCACCCATTTTGACGCAAGGACCGTATTAAAGCCATGCATGTGTCTGGGGTGTTAGGGCTCTTCATAAATAATGCTAATTAGAATTAGATGTATCCTAGCGTTTCGATGCATACAATGGTGTTGCAGCGGCAGTTTTCACTCTAGGTAACTATTAGGCTTTTAACAAAACCATGCGTGTTAAACCAAAGACGTTTGTTGATCTAAACAGCTGGAAGCAACCAAAACTTATTGACTTGCCAAAATTGATCCTCCATTGTCTGTATGCAGTGCTTGCAGACTGCAGTTTTGAAGTCGTGGCAGTAGTTGCTGTGACCTTTGCAGTACGGTCATCATAGTTCTAAGTACCAATTATATGACTCTAGGGTTGGGCAGCTGCTGCATTTGTCCAAGTAGCCATCAGTAGAGGTTTCGCACCGTCCACACCCCTGTTGATAGCTAATTAGGCTCCTAGCTGACAGAGTGCTCATGCTATTCCACTACTCATGTTTACTAAGGTTGATGATAAAATCAAGTATGTGGCTCAACACAGTAGCACTCTCGTGCGGTCCAGCTCTCTGAACTGAGAGGTTTGAATATATGCTGAGGTTATTGTTGGTATGCACTTGATGTCATTCATGAGTAAGGAGTACTAGCGTCGGCGTCGCCATTTTGATAGTCTGCACTGTCGCCGCATGTTCAAAAAACACACCACGCGCGCCGTCTTCAAGATTCGTATAACGACCTGGATCACTAGGGGCCTCTGCAACACGTCCTGCACGCCGACGCACGGTTAGCATGGATGGCACATATGAACAGATCTTCAAAATGGTGCGGCGATGGTATTGCCACTTTGCGAATCAAGGCTCAGTGCATATGCCCTATAGATTTTCCGTGGCAGCATTCAGCATGCTGTCGTGTAGTTCAGCAACTTTGGTTTGAGTTGTACATGTTTGTCAATCTGTAAGAAACTGCTTTAAATGGTTTCACTGCTCTCGAGTCTTGCTGCACCAAGTTGAGTCTGGGAACAATAAAAGGGGCTTTGAACGAAATTTAGTGAAAGCAAAGACAGCACTTGACATGGCGCTATATGCTGAGTTCTTGTTCATTTTATTATGCAGTTCTTCATTAGCACTACTGGCAAATATTGACATTGTGACTGATGACATTATGTAGAATTAGCAGATATAGGGGTATTAATAGGGTAAAGATGGTTGAAGGTGTTATATCTTGAATTTGGCTAATGGGCTTGAGTGTGAAGCTGGCGCCGGCTGAATGCAAATAGTATTAGCAGGTTCTGGATAGTATGTCGAATCTCTTTAGACTGCAAGGGCAAAAAAAGAAGATGATGTGCGAAGTTGGGCGAAGTTTAGTGGGATATAAACTTTTACTCTTGCAAGCAGTCACTGTTTGAGGTTATATCCGAGCAGTGGCGGCTGCATTTTCAATGGAGCTGAAAATGCTGTAGGCCCATATACTCAGATTCGGGTGCACATTAAAAAACCCCAGGTGGTCAAAATTTCTGGGGCCCTCCACTCTGGCGTCTCTCATAGTCGTTATAAGGTGGTTTTGGGATATTAATCACCACATATCAATCAAACTGTTTGAGGTTATGGAATACGCACAATCAGAATCGGCTGAGAAAAACACGTGTTGCTTCTTTTCGGTATTCTCCTTTAGTTTCTACGTATTTTCTCTGCTTTTATTGCAGATGGATTTCGGTCTTGGATGTGGCGTGGCCTTTCCTTTCTGCTTCCATTCCTCTATTTTGCATACGTGAGTAAGACTGTCGATCTCCACAGTTAATATTATTACATGCAATGTTTATTGGCTCTTTGGCACAGTTTGTGTGCTCTTCAGTTGCACTGCAGAGATACAGTGATCCCTCATTATAACGAAGTGTGTGGCACGACGAAAAAATTCTCAGTAAGGGATATTTTGATATAAGCGACCACTTGAGACAAGCAAACGCAGTCGAGCTTCAATTGTACAACAACTGCAAGTCAGAACACAACGCAAGTCAGAATACCACGCAAGTCAGCACACAACGCAAGTTGGAACACAACTGCAAGTCAAAACACAATCGGCCGACCTATATTTCGGTTTTTACGGTATTTACAGATTGACTAAAATTATCGCTATTCAACGTTACCAGTGTAGACTCTAAATCAACATTTGACTTTGAGATCGGGTCCTATTGTGCATCCTCTGACTTAATTGTGAGTTGCAGTGTGTAGTCGTCTGGGCTTTTTGTTGACACATATTTATGAGAACTTTAGGTGAGTCATTTTCATTAATTAGGAGAAAGACAGAATACCACTGTCAAGTCTATCATGCATATGAGGGACTCTTGATGCTTGTACAGTAGGGTAATGACAGCAGTGGCATCGCCCTTGGTGTCGCAGATTCTAATATAAGGGCCTTCAAAAAGCTTTCCTTCTAGAGTCGGTTCTAACTCCATGGTTTTAACAGCCAAGGAAGAGTGTGCATTGCCTCCAAGACTGGAAAATTGTGCACACTTCTAATCTCAGAGGCAACTGGCCGCTGGAGCCCAAGCTTGACCAAGCCAGTGGGAAATTCCACATGGTGGCTTTCAAAATTTAGAGCTGTGGCCTAAAATGAGCTTTAGTCTAAAAAATGTCACTTTTGAGCATAAAGTCCAAAAGATAATTGCGAGAATCTATATTAATGCTACCTAAACATTAATGATGCATTTATGAAGTCTGAAATTGCCATCGTTGAATTCTTCGTCTGAAAAATCTGTCGGTGACTGTAAACAGCTGAGAGCCTCGGCACTCGCTTAGTACTCGTTACTAGGCAGTCAGCAGTCTTTTATACAGTAAAACCCTGTTAATTCGGACTTCATAGGACCAGAGAGAATGTCCAAATTAACCGAGGGTACGAATTATTGTGAGTACGAACAAAACACATTGAAAAATGTCTCCTACAACATCAGACTTCTATTTCTTAAAAAGTCTGTGATCGTGGTTTGCTTCACAGACGCAGTGTGCTATGAAGTCACAATTTTGCGAAGTTCTTGCAGGTGGCTTAGTCCGCGCACATTTTCCAAAGAAAGCATGCATATGTCCTCCAAAACGGCCTACGCATACGCAGCCTCCTATCATAGTGTGGCATGGATTCTCGTCAGCATCTGTCCTCGTCAGCCGATTACCCTTTGCCGTCCAAGACTTCGGCGAAGATATCGCTGTCGATCACTGTGCCGGCCACGGCAACATCGCTGTCAATTGCGAAGTAATCGCCCAGGGGCACATCAGATGGTATCATGCTCACATAGCTGCCGTCTTGCTCTTCGTCGGTTTTCTCATCGGCCACCACCCTCGGGTCAGCAACGTCGTGCACGAAGCCGCTATGCCTAAAGCAGTTTGCGACTACTTCAGGCAGTGTGATGTTCCACACGTATGTCAGCATCTGCATTGCAATTAGCAGGCTTACTTTGTACAGCTTGCCTGACTCCATAGCAACATCCGCTCGAGTACCTGCCGTCGATAGCGGCTTTTTACGAACTCTCCATCGGCTGCAGGGAAGTCATTGTGTTCAGAGGCAGGAATAACAGTACAACGTTCTCGAGCCCGGACACCTTCGTGTGCGCATTACAGTTGTCTAGCACGAACAACACCTTCCGAGCCTTGGCCGCGATGCGCCGGTCGAGCTGCCACAGCCAGGCTTGAAAGAGTTCGGCAGTCATCCAAGCCTTTCTGTTGAACCGGTAGTCGACAGGCAGCTGCTTACTATTCTTAAAAGAGCTTGGCTTCGCAGCCTTCCCGATTACTAGCAGAGGCAGCCGCTCTGTGCTGGTCATGTTAGCGGCCAAAAGAACTGTCACGCTCTCTTTACTTCGTTTTCCACCGACACACGGATCCCCCTTAAACGCGATTGCCTTGTCACGCAGAGCCTTATAGAACAGCGCTGTCTCATCAGCAGTGAAAATGTTGCACGACTTGTACTTAGAAAGGCGCGCAGATAGTCCAGACTGCCAGTCCTGCACAACACTTTTGTCAGCCGCACCACTTTCACCACACACGTTGCGGAACACCTGCCCATGTTGCTCCTTGAAGCGGTCGAACCAGCCTTCTGATGCATTGAAGGAGTCAATGGTCATGGTCACCGCGAACTTCTCTGCTTGTGCGCAGATAAGGGGGCCACTCAAGGGCAAACGTGCGTCGCGTGAAACGGCAATCCAGTGCAACAGCGCTTCTTTTAGTTTGGGATTTGCTGCCGTTCGAAGCCTCTTCCTTTGTTCGCCAAACATGTCCCCGTCATGCGCTTTCATAATCTGCTTTTCGTTCTTCATGTGAGTGCTCAGCGTGCTTTTCTTTACATTGAATTTTTTCATCACTTCTTTTTGAGATGCTCCCGCTTGCAACGCCTTCAATATTTTCACCTTCGCAGCCAAATCCTTTGCTTCGTACTTCGCCCTCTTCGCTGCAGGAGTTGGGGCCGCAGGAGATGAAGGGGAAGCCATCTCGGCGTTGCTTGCGTGGTGGCCGTGCGCGCACGCACGATGTAGACAACACAAACACACACAAAAAAACGTGCGGTGATAAAAACGAAATAAAAACAGTTGAACTTTTAAAAAAATAGCAAACAGTAAGACTGCAGCCGGCACTGATCATGTACAGATAAATATAATTTAAACGAGAGGTGAGCAATCCACGCAAACCTGCTCGACGCGCAAGAAAAAGGAAAGGCAAATCCGTAAGTTGCCTGTTGCTGATGACAGTAGCAATGCACTGCCTTCCATTTTGGTCGTTTAAACCACCATGTGTTCTTTTTTTGTTTTTTTGTTTTTTTTTGTGCCTTCGAGATTTACAATTCATGGACGAAGTTCTGAATCTCAGAGGCCGCAATTCGATCCCAAAGTTGTTTAGGTACGCCGTCAATTTGGCCGGCAGAATCCGCTGCTGCTTCCCTGCCGTGACTCGACCGCGGTTGGGAGTTGGAATTAACCGAATTGCGGCTGAATTTGTCCGAATTAATGAGAGTTCTCAGTCATAGAACAATGTACATTTTGGACGGGATCAGACGCCATGGCCGAAATAACCGAAATTCTGAATGAACGAGGGTCGAATTAACGAGATTTTACTTACTGTCATAGCCTGTTCAGTGATGGCTTTAATTTGACACTGCATGCACAAAAGTCTTGCCACCACTCGGCGACGTCTCTGCTTGCCACTTCGTTTCAAGCAAGTGAAGCTCTTTGTGCGCCTTGAGCATTGAGGCTTAATAATCATGCATTTGAGTGGAGATCAGGAGAAATATTTATTAAAATGATATTTCAAGTAAAGCGATGCAAGGATTACTGTATTATCGTGGAAAAAGCATGGGCTGCAGCTTATAAGGGGCTCGTGTAGTGGCAGCAACCTAGCTCATTGTGACAATGGTACTGCCCATTGAACTACTGTAAAATTGAAATTCCAAGCAAGCACCCCCACCCATATAAGCCCCCCCCCCCCCCCCCCGCCCCACCTCCAACTTCACTGGCAATTTATTTCAAATGTCAGTGCCGTGCCGGGAAAGTGCCCCCCTTCCACGGCTTCGCCACAACATGCCCAGGCAACAGTGGCCTGCCGCATCCAGTTGACAAAAAGTTGACGTTGACTTTTCTACAGATATTGCAATTTTTTTGTATGGTCTTGCTGGCTGCCATGAATATAATGCAATCTAATCCTGCTTTGCACTTCAACCAGATTGCTCTGCGCCGTTGGTTGCTTTATGTTTGCATTGAGTGGTCAGCCTATGCCCATGCAGTCCTACACAGTGGTGAAGAAAATCAATGTTATTCGCTGACATTGAGAAAACGGAAAAGACATGCACCAGACATCTCGACATTTCAAGCTCGACCGGGAGCGAATACAGGAATAACAGAAGAATTTCGATAATTCGCTGCAGCTAATTTACGGGAAGGCAAAACCTCGATGGAAGCTCAGTAACGGCACACCAGTGCGCTGTTCAACTACCTTGAGCGCGAAAGAAGTGCAGCACGTTCCGTTAGCAACTGGGTTCTTTCCGAAAAGCCGTTGAAATTGTCAACAGCATGCAGTTGGGAAACTTCGTAGCCTCCAGCTAATATAAAAATCGCTGGAAACAGCGCTTCGGTGTTGCAATGTGCCGCGCTACGAACGAGAGCCAGAAGACAACCGAGGAACTTTCGGAGGCAGCAAGTGCCTGCGAAAGTTTTGCCCCCATCTTGAATTTTGATGCAGTTCGAGATTTTGCTTTCTTTGTGTGTTGGGGGGGGGGGGGGGGGGGCTTGCTCAGAATTTTTTGGTAGTGTTAGATAGAAAGGGTAATGGCATGAACCCTTCTAAATCATTTCGGAAACGTTAAATGTCTTTAGGGGTGTACAGACGAGTACTTATGGTATCACTGTGTAAATACGTTTGTCAAAGGTTTGATTTTTTTGAATTTGGGTGGGCAGACACACTTAAATATTTACTGGAAGTACAGTGTACATTTAAGAGCTTCAGAAAGCAGAATCCCTAATTCCTCAGTTACAGATAACTCGCAGCATCCATGTTGCTTTGGGACAGTGATTGTCATTGTTTAGTCATTAACTATGTGTGTTCTGTGTGTTCACAGATGTTCCAGCTGTACAATGCATATACGTTGTATCATCTCAGTCTCCTTTCAGAGTGCACAGAGTGGCAGGTGAGCAAACATTATACGTAACTAAAGTCGCCAACATTTTCCTTGTAGTGTGCTAACATGATATTTTTGTGACCCATTTACTTGTAACTGTCCGAAACATTTCCTCCATAATGATGCTTAGTAGATTTAAGCAAAGGGTAGGAATATTTGACTTACCGCCATTTTGACTAATGTTTGCTGCTTTTTACCTTCTTTTTCGACATGTCCACCGCAGGTTTTCGTGTCAGCAGTAATCTTCTTCATCCTCTTCTTGGGCAACATTGCAACCACGTCGCTTGTCATCTTTCACAAGATCAGTGGTCGCACAATCATTCGCAGGATACAAAAGAAAAGAAGCCATGACCACGTGGATTAGGATGAAGTTAGTCCGAGCTCTGCTGTTCGCCGCAAATGCCACTTGCCCCGTGCCTGACGTCTTTGAGAGCGACTGTCGGCTTACTGAGATGTGTGTCTGTGCGGCAAAAGAAATCTAAAACCGGCCTAGTCAGACTGTCCAGGACAAGGCAGCCCTAGTGTTTGTACTTTACGGTGTTTTTTTTTCTCTCTCTCGGGCAGGGCAGTAACATGTCGCGTAGTGCTCTTACAAATTATTTTAGGCTACTTTTTTTTTTTCTTGTGACTTTCGGTTTGTGGCATGATCTCCACTTGGACATCTATTTTAAAGAGTGCTGTTGTTTTCGACGTATTGTGTGTGTATGCCTGGGAAGCCATTCTGGGATCACTTGTCCTCTCATTACTGTTCACCTCACGTTTGACTGTCTTTGTCAATTGCTGTTGTTTGAGTGGAGGTGTATGTTTGATTCCCCTGATGATTGCGGGCAAAGTTGTTTTTCTCTTCGACATTTGGGGTTATTTCTCTAGTAGCTTTGTTGAATTGCACAAATAGAGTGCGAAAAAAAAATGTGCTGTGCTCAATCCTGGTGTATGGTACAAAAGGCAATATACTTTATCTGTCCTACGTGCTTGCTTTTTTATCATGTTTGGCCTGTGGTTGTTACTTTTTCTGTAGGCTTGTATGGATTAAACCGTGAAGTGGTCCTAGAAGAGCATGCTGTTTGTAAGCGAGGCTTTCAGTGTGCATTTTTATGGTAAGTGCTCTCTGTCGCTTACTAAGCCATATTGCCAATATTACAAATTGGTTCCGGTTGCAAAAAGTGTTGAGTCTCTCAAGTGTTCAGTCCTATAAGCCACAAAGTGCTGATCACTCTTGTCGTCAGGCGATACCACGAAAGATGTGTCGTGAAGCTTCCCAGGCTAATGTGCTGCTCATCGGAGTTGCTTATCAAGAACAGTTTGCGCCCCAAAGAAAAAGGAAGGAAAAGTAAGATATGCGTCGCTGCTACTCTTGTCGCACATACGATGTTCTGCAAAAGGACGAACACAACCTCCCAAGTACTCACGATCATCCTTGTCACGAGTCCTAGCTTATGCCAAATTCCATGTCCTGTTATATAGCATACGACGAGTTTGTGCATGCATCGCAACAGCTTTGCTATGTAACCAACTATGGCTACCGAACAGTGCATGAATCAACTGCACACACAGTACATTGCGGAAGTTCTGCTTTTGTAAGATGTACATGGCCATGTCAGCAACTGCTTCCACGTCAACTGCAGACTTGCAGTCTTCAAATTTCCTGTGTGTCCTTATGATGAACTGTGTATTTCTTGGAATGACTGGATGCTCTGCCCTTTCGAAGAGATCATTAAAAGTGACATGTATAGAGCCTGCACACGAAAAAGAACTTATAAAAGGTTCAACTTGGAGATGACGAGATGTAGTTGCGTCAGCTCTTGCCACACTTCGCACTTGTCGAGGTCATGCCATGATGCCTTAAGCTTGTAATGCTGCAAATGTGGCAGAGATATATTTTGCCATGACATAAGTATCAGGGATGTCCTTTGAGAGATTACTGTGTTGCCCTTTTTTTCTCACTTGAGTCCATATATTGGTTTCTCAAAGCAAAAGCACTCAAAGTGCCATGTCCCTACAAGGACCTGTCTACTTTTTTTTTTTTTTTTTGTGCATCAATGTCTCGCATTTTTGCTCACTTTTCGACGTAACTTAAGACTTTCGACGTTTATTGTCTATGCAAGGCCAATTTGTGGAACTGTTTGTCGTAATTCCTCCATCGTTACCCTTCCTCCATGTTGGTGCCTTTGCATTACCTAGACGATCATTTATTTACGTCAATCGCACAAGCCTTCAATAAGACACTGACGTCATTAATGTAGACTTTGTTGAAGAGTGCACAGTTCCAACGCACAAGTTCTCGCAAGACTCGCTGTGCACCCGTTCTATCACCCTGCCTACATACTACTTCTTACCGTGTTAAGTCACCCTTGGTACTTGTCATTCATTGTTCCTTGTGTTTATTGAAAGACTAGTGGGACTTACAAAAGCACCTAAGAGAAGAGTAACTTATATGCATGGTGTTAAGTGTTCAACAAAAGCCATTCTCGTTAATCTTGTAAGTGAAGGAATGTTTTTAAAATGGGAATAACTTACAAGTGTACAATGGAGGAGTGTTCAGCAAGGCTTTTTATTGTTGCTGTTGCCAGTTCACCGTTCTGCTTGCATATGTACAGTGTATTTGTCCATTGTACGTTGTTTACAATCATGTCAACACACAGAGCTCGTGGCATTGCACAGGTATACCATTGGCATGTCACATGCAACTTATGCTTCTTCTCTGGCCTTTATTTCCTTGGCCATTGCTGATGAGCTATAACCGGCTCATTGGGCCTGTGTAGTGTATGCTTGTTGTCCTGTTCTAAACGCTGAATTTTAGACAATGAATTTATGGCCAAACCAAAATATTTTCATTTGGGTTCAATTGTAGCATACACCCTATGTAAATACCAGAAAACAAAGACCCAAGTATCACTGACTGTACATGTGGACAATTCGTGTTACACCTTACAAGTTTGTCTAAATTTGTTATGAAGCTGGTGTAGTTGTCACTATGATTCTTATTGCAAGTGTATGCTGACGGGCAAGTGTTCTCACCCAACTATTCCATGATATATGATGGTGGCTGTTGTGTGTCCCCAATGTCTGATTAAATGTTCTCGATCAAACAGGCTCCATTGGTGAATCGCTCCGTTCAGCTTGCACCTTTTCTGCTCAGTCCCTTGTTTGCACTATGTGACACCTTTAAGTGTCTGCCTCTGTGAACGGTGCACTGTGTGCAACATACAGATTATCATGGGCAAAAAAACACAGCGACGAGCAAAGTAAAAATACTGTATTCCTTTCACAAAAAAAAATGTTTCAAAACAGAATTGACTAGAGCCTACCATAACAGCGTAGCAGATAAATTTTTTTTGCAAAATTGATTTGCTTCTTTTAATCTATTTTTAGCCTTGGAGATGTTTTATTTTTTCATCAAAAAGAAAGATTATGCTGGTTTTTATTTATTTGCTTTTATTTATTATTATTTTGGTAAAGCTGTGTACAGCATGGATGGATGAAAAACTTTTATTGGGGTCCTGAAGGATTCCACCCCCGTTTTATAGAGGTAGGATCGCGGGCCGCTCCCACGTTGGGACGGGGAGGCCCAGCCTCACCGCCGCATCGTGGGCCTTCTGGACAGCCTTGAGTTGTTGTATGAGAACCGGACTCGTGAGCATTAAATGAAAGGAGTACAGCATGTCTTCATAAAATAAAACTGCACAAAAAACTGAACACTAGAAGAAGACTGGCGCACAAGCAACAGCACTGTTGTTGTGTGCGTCTTCCCCTCATTCTAGTGCTCGATCTTTCGCACTATTTTGTTTTCCGAGATGTACCACCGTGCCCAAGCATCCACTTAAGCAGCTTGTTTTTCCACGAATATCTAGTTTCAGCAGCGAACACCCGCTTGCTTTTTGTTTCTCGCTCAAGAGCACTAGATTTTTAAACCCTGCACGTACGAAGCAGACCTGGGTTGTTGCACCTGCAGGCAGGGAATTTGGAATGTGGCCCCAGCCATGAAAACAACCGGACGTCTAGGAGAGTTGTGGCTACTAGAAGTGTGATACTGTGTTCTTGATAGGTAGTTTATCAGATATTGCTAAAGTGGCATTGTAGAATTAACGGGACACTAGAGGCAACTATTAGGTCGGCGTTGATTGTTGAAATAGCGTTCCGGAAACCTCGTACAGTTACTTTTGTGGCAGGGAAGGGCATATTTTAAAATAAAATCACGTTTTAGTGGTTCGCATCGGGTTAGCGCACTTCAAATTACCCGGCTCAAGGAACGGACCTGACCGAACCGGCTCACGTTGCCGTGCACAATGTTGCCCGGTTTTACTGCGCTAGTAGCAGCAGACCGAAAGCAGCGGGAGCCATAGCTGCAACAACAATAACCTCCGAAATGGCGGGCGCACGCGCCCGCCCTCAGAGGCTATGGCAGACGTTTTTTTTGGTTTAACTGCGCCCTGCTAGGTGGCACTACACGTCCAGTGTGACCAAGGAAATTAAAGTATAGAGTGTAACTACACGAAAATTCAATTTTTGAACCACTCGCGCCAGCTCCTCATAGTAACGTCCGGCGGTTATTTTTTCCATGAATCAAACAGAAACGAACAAGCACTATTTTATTGCATCTCTTGATGCACGAAACGTTCTTTCTTAGATGCAGCTAGATCGATTACTAGTGATTAATTGTAGGTGGTCCGTCTGATGTCATCGGGATGATTTTTAGAGACTCCTACTTGTGGACGCTTGTAGTTCTTGTGCATTTACCTTAATTTCTCGGTAAGTAGGGCACTGTTGCTGATAACATGGTCGTTTTAGGTGTCATACATTGAACTTTCACTCTGACGTTAATTGTTATTTGACCCTAGTGTCCCTTTAACTGCAACATTCCATAGCGCTAAAGGAGTTTCTCTGAAAATGTGGAAATTCCTATCGTAAGCGTGGGGATGGGCTAAGTGTCCGTAATGATGAACAATATTGAAGGGACGGGCAGAAACTAAATACACATAGTGACTATGCTCCTAAGTTCTGAGCAGCAGTTATGTTTGATGTTGTAGGCTTAGAAGTAGTAACACTTGTTCCGCACTGAATGTAATGTCTTAAAATAATCTGTTACTTGTGCACGTAGGCATTGACGTACGCGCGAGGGGAGGGAGCAGCTTCCTATCCCCCCCCTAGACACCTAGGAGGGGGGGGGGCAAGCGAAGTCAGCCCCACACGTTGAAATAACAGGGAGTGGGAGTGCGCAAAGTCAACCCCATACATTAGCATAATAGGGAGGCGTGGCACTACGACGGACTTTCGCTTATGCCCGCGTATACGCACGTTGGCGTGCGCAAAAAATGTTTTTTTTTTTTTTTCAGAAGCGTCAAACAATGTTGCAGCCCCAACCACCCAATGTCAACTTTAGTGGTCCGCTGTCAGCCCCAGAACATTCGCAGAAGCAAAAAGGGGAAAAAAAGAAGAGGGGGGGGGGGCATTGTATGCTGCAGTATATGCGTGTGTGCCATAGGCTTAATACTTTAAATGACCTATGGTAGTGGTTAGAGGATGAGAAAAAGCACCTGATTTCTGCAACGCGGTCGGGAACACGGCGCTGTGCCAAAATGACCTATGAGGTTCTGTAGTAGACTGTTGCGAGAGACGATATTGAAAGTGTCCACTCGCAAAAACAAAATTAATTAATAAACTGCTATGCATTGACATTGGGTGTCGTCTAGTCATAAACGCGTGTGTAAAAATAGTGAAATCCGACCCCTAGTGCGCCCTTCAACCGCTAAGTGTGTACTTATTAATATGTTTTGTTAAACACACACACACAAACGCGCGCAAGCGTGACGTATCTATAGTAATGCAGTGACTGTTGTAGCGATCAAGCTATGCCTTGACCCAGCGGGTCATTCGCCACGCCGGATTAGTGCCAAAAGGATAGTCTCGCCACGGCTGGACGGAGGAAGCAACAGGGGCCGACTACACGAGACGGCGCCCACTGATTGACAGCGGCGCCAACTGTGTGGAATGTTGCCAAAGAGGGTTATGGAGCCGCCGCTCTATCTCCCGCCTGGGCCACGCATCGTTAGCGCGTTAACCAGCAGACGACAACGGCGCTGGTCAAAGGGCTCTCCCCAGAGGATTCCACGAACCTGGCACCTCTCGAAAGGGCGCGCCAAGATCTTCCCGTGGGAACGCAGAGTGAGGCCGGCACCAAAGGGGTCGAGGCGCCCGTGCGTCTTCCGCTCTCCCCCTCCCTATTCTACGGCAGCGCTGCGACTAGTGGCAAGGGTGTGTGTGCATGTGCAAGCCAGTGTTGTGCCTCTATGAACATACATGACGGGCGGTACTTCACTGAGAGGAACTTCCACATCACCATTGGTCCGCATTGTTTTGTGTAGTGATCCCCAACCTAGGGACCTAGGGATCGGGGGTCAACAAAAAGGGCGTGCAGCGTCTCGCCCAACTCTCTTCTCTTCTATCTTCATCTCGACAACTCACTGTAAGGATGTAAATAAATCCGTTAAGTTTGCTCAAAGCACTACCCTAGTCCTTGGCTCGACGGAGCGACGGCGACCGGCCCCGCTACCCGCAGACTGCGGTCGCCACAACGCGCAACACTGTGCAGTGTGGCCACTTCCCTCTGCTAGGACGGCGCTCTGCTGCGGTCGAGACATGTTTTTCACAATGTCTCACAGATGGCACACAGACACACGCGCGCGCGCGAATGGTACATACAGGTTTTTCATCTAAAGCAAGAGTCGCATGGCCTCCAAGGTAAAAGCTACGTGCTTGTCATCTATAGAAAGCCATTAAGAGTCTCACAATGCCTCACAGATGGCAGCCCATTATCTAGCGTTCGCTGTTTGCTTGATCAACGCCTCTGGAAAAGCGTGATATTTTTTTCCGCTAGATGAACATAGTTGTCCATTTTTAGAGCTGTTTGAAAGTTCCTGCGTGTTTTTAGCGGCGATGGCTGCACTATCTCGGCCTTTTTCGACGTAGTTTGATGGCCTCCCAAATGCGCATACAAATCGCCCAATGGGCTCGTTTACGTCGTGACACCTGTCGAACAAAATGCGTTGAGAAGACTCCTTCCGCTATATGGCACTTATGTAGTGTTTTCCCGCGAAGCACCTGCAAGACACAACGAGGCTCTGTGGGATAGGCCACCTGCTTGCCACGCGAACAGCCCGTGTTCAATCCTCAATAAGACTGAAATAGTTATTCTTTATGTTATTTGCTTCTTTCTAGATTTTTGGCTTACAGACGATTTTTCGCTCACAACCAATGGTGCCGACGGCGGAATTTCTGCGACACGACGCTCTCTAACGCTACTGTGTTAATATTGTTTTCCAAAATTTATACTAATAGCGCAGCCGGACGATCACTAACTGACAAACTCACTCATGAGTCGATTCATTCAGAGTGTGTTACGACTAATTTAACGCCATGAAGGAAAACTGCTATTAAGCCAGCAACGACAACGAAAAAAAAAAAAGCGCGAGGTTGACGCCGCTGCAGGGAGTACTCACCAGACATCGAACTTGCTTTCTTTTGACTTGTCAGCCGTCCGGAGGCATTTTTCGAAGGGAAGCGGATAGGCTTTCGGAGCATCGTGAGACATACGGGCGCATTCAGGCAGCCAATGCGGTGCAAGCTTTCCCTGTAATCTACGCGGTCACGGTCATATGCATATGCATGGCACCAGGGCCATGACTTAGCAAGAAGCGATCGTGATCGACGCCGGTGATAACGCCGTCGAAGCTTCTCGACTTGGCTCGGCTTGCGTTGCTGCTCGGCGCACGCTCTACCCCGGTGTTCCGCGCCGGTGCTCTTCATCTTTCGGCGGGCCCTGCGAAAGCTCACATTCCTCGCGACCACCGTGTTCGCGACTGACTACATCGTGGTGTGCTATCCTTTGTGCCACTTTGGTGAACGGTACTCACGTGCACTCCTGCAGAGCGAGCGGATTTGACAACGCCTATAGGTAAGCGTGAGTCGAAGCTTCTACAGCCCTCTTGTGAGACGTAGTTCCATTAGCAGCTTTAGGGCGGACATGTGTCGGGGAGGACTAGAACAAAAACGAATTGGGGGAGCAAGATGCAAGGCGGCTGTATAGCATGTTTGCAG